CCCCACTGAAAAGGCCATATCACATTCAAAAAAAACTACAACCATTCTGAATGGAAGCAGGACATGTGCCGCACCCCAAAAATAGACTGATCAAAAGCGAAAGCTTTAGCGTTCAGTCAAAAGAAGTCGTTTTCCAGATGGAACTTTGCTGTTCAGAAAATGTGCAAATAGTAGTTCCTTACCGCTATTGACACAGACAAGGGAAATTCACTCACAATTCTCACGTACCACCTATCTCAAGAAGGATTTTTCCTAACGTTCTGCAAAACCAGTATGCAGAAAAACCTGATACCCAGGCCTGCGCACAAAGTAACGACCTCCTGTCAACTTTCAGACTGCTAAGTGGGACAATACCTAGCTTCCCGTTAAGGGACTGTTAGGCTGACAAAGCCCTAAACCGTTATCAACAACGCGCAACAAGAACTTCTTACGCTGCCCGCTTCATGGCGAATTCCACCTGAGCACCACCCTATAAAAAACACGTACCTTCGGGAACTTGGCCGCCAGTGAGTAGAACTTTGCATCCTGACTAGTTTTCAATCCTTGATCTCTCTTCGCGTCACCATAATACTTGCCAGCAGATACTTTGAATGATCCGTAGTCATCTTTGTGTTTAGACTGAACCCACCGTTTTTCCCAGGAATCGTCTGAAATTCAACTTCATATTCACGGTACGAATACATAAGCACAATATTTTCGTACCTCCAAACTCCTCTTTGAAAAATGTTTCCGCTGCAACAATACCAAGCAGGGGCAGCAACAGGGCCAAGCTCCTCATGGCGAGTAGATTTCTTCACCAAGCACTGAAAAAGCAACTAGGAAGCCAGTGTTAGTATAATTTCCAAGATCGCAAGTATACAACGATTTTAGCGAAAACGCGACTTCAAAACCAACTACTAGCGGTTGGCCGACGCAAGAGTAGGTCGAGGCCACAGCCGGCAAAACGTGAGTTCATCGATTTGCAAAAAGAGAAACATCGATCGAGGTGTCATGCAGGACTACAGTGAAGGCGCGGCTGTACAGAATTAATGTACTGAAGTAGGTCGTGTGGCAGAAATGATGCCCACTGCGAGTGAATTCGACGCGATTCACCAACTGCGCATATATGCTGTCGAGTTGGCCTGATAGCAAACGTCAGCACAGTCGGCGTGTCGCTATTGGTCCAATCGCGAAATCGACCAGTCACGACGTGACAACAACGGTGGGCGGGCTCATGGGGCAGACACGCAGAGCTGACTGCACCAGACGTACCAGAGTGAACCGAGAAAGATCAACGGGGATAATGCAAGTTGTAAAGACGCCGGCGCGATACAAACACACTTTCGAGAAACTCACATGAGCTTACTTGCACTAACACGTTAACGATTATCACGAATCGATAAGGTCCGATCAACGAGAATCCGGCCCGACAGGTGTTGGAGAAGTGGTGGAAGATCGGGGAAATGTTAATCGGGAGTGGGGCTTCATTAGGGGGATAAGCGGATAAAGCGGCAGTAGTTAGAGGATAAAACGGCTGACTATCCTACAGCGCAGGGGAGGCGGCACAATCGAGTTATTTTTCCCGACGAAAATCGATCGAATTTAACCCAGAACGGCGATGCGCTAGCAGCGGTCATGACGGCGACGGGGTCAATGCCATCAATTGGGGGTGGGACACAGCGTAAACCTTGGGTAAACGCAAGGGTCACCGCACGCTTTAAGGGCCACCATCCACGATCACTCGGGTTCTGAAGAGAAAAGGACTTGAGCGACCTGCGGCATTTACACCACTGCTGCTTTTTCTTGAAGGCACAAGGCACGATACTCTGTCAAAATGGTAGCACAGGTGCTATATAGTGGGATGGGGGGGGGAAGGGGAAATGGCGAAAAACGTAGTGAAACCGCCAAAAACTTGCAAAGAAGGATTTGTCCTACATGACTCAGAAAGCACCTTCGGACGAGTTCCCCGCTGGCACTTGCTATATCCACTACGGTA